TAGCAAGCTGCCAACAGCAGGAGCCCTAACTGCTTCAGGAGGGTTCCCGCTTCTCCTCCACTCCCCCTCTAATGGAACTCCAAACTCCGGCGCCCTTTCTCTGTTGCCTTGGTTACCAAGTCGTCCTTCTGATTCGCCGTGTCTTGCTGTGACGTCCTCCCATGGAAGGCACAAAGCCCCGTCCATTGATTATGCAAAGGCACAAATTGCCTCTCCTTGGCATCTCGAAAGGCAGCATTTTATCACCCTCATAAGCACTCTGCCCCTTCCACTTGGCAGAAACCACACCCCCGTCACATTAATTTCTCTTTCAAGATGTGAATTTGCACTGGGGGGGGTGGACTATGCTTAATCTCTGAGCAGAGTTAGCACTCCTTACACATCAAATTACTCTCAGTGTTGGGCAGTTCATAGATAACATCCTTTAAATAGCCATTCACCATTTCTACGGCACCCTGCAAGATTGCCGTGAGAATATGGGATGTCCAACTTGCCTCATTTTAAATGAAACATCGTCCCAGGTAACTGGTCTCACCTGGGCATTGCTGATGGAGGAGCCAAGGTAATAATCCTCTCAATGTGACATTATCAAACCTGTAGAGCAAGGTAACAGTCAACCAAGGACCTGTGCTGTGCTTTTGGATTCATAATTTAACGAATTTTAAAACCATGTGCTAAAAATATACACTTCCTGTCCCTAGTCGACAGGCAGAAGTGCTGATATAGTGTCTAAAAAAGTGTAAATGTAAGATCTGCACCATCCGTGATATTTAATTTATCCACACCAAAGTGGTGCAAATCCGCAGAGTGCCGCACTTCTTCAGAACACGTTTATTTCCACTCGTCTCCTTAACATGTCCTTCATATTGTCTCTTGCATATCTATGTTCCACTTGGAAGTTGAACTGTTGATGTCTGGGGTCAGCTGGGACTTGGGGCCCCTCCTGGCTACAACCCTAATGCCAGCAGACGCCTAATTGCGGTATCAAACGTTATATCAAACTGACTCGCTCCAGGATCCATGGATTTCAGGTTGAGTAAATTTTTTGCTTAGGATTTTTTTAAGGTGGGGGGAATATGGGGGTCATAATTCATACAGCGGAGCCAACCTTATGTTTAGCTATGATATGATTTGAATCGCTGCATGATGGGAGGGGGCATTCTGGGGGCCAGTAAACTTTCTACTGGGGCCAGTGCTCTGTGGCCCCGCCCCGGTTTCACGCCCAATCAGATTCAGACTTAAAGGCCTGGGATAGATCTATAAATAAGAATGGGTTGTTATTCTGATGCTCAGAATGCATTTTTATTCAAAGCAGCTCACATTTCTGCATATGTACACTCCCCTGCACTGTGTGTGGACTTTGCATGTCCTTCCTGTGTCATGTGGGTTTTCCTCAGGTACCTGAGGTAAAGTTACCTCATTCATCACTTCAGCCTTCTTGCATTTGAGTTGACTTTCCCATATCTGTTGATGTATCATCCCCCATGCTGGCGGGCACCCCACTACATCTGGGCCGGGTACTGCTCTGCTCTCTGTGTGCTTTCTTCCTCACAGGGGTCTCCCTCGGCTGACCCTCACGCAACATTATGAGCTCCAACCTCTAATGAGGTCATTGGAGTGTTGGCAAAGCGGTGGCACTCCACTGGCCTTTTGGATGGATTCATCTCAGTGGTTCCCCTTCTCCATCACACACTGACTTGTATGACGGGTCAAATGTAAGCCCCCAAGTGGAAAAAAAACAATTATGTTCTGAGATATATGACTTCGTGCTACAGGAAGGAGCAGTATTAATTACTCCTGTGTGTTTGGAGAGACCTGCGGGGTCGACTTCCTTGGCCGAGCTTCAGAAATTTATTTGTAAAGGAGGCGCAGGGCAGTGTGACGGAGAATTTGGAGTTTGATTTCTATCCTTTCTCGTGTGGAGCCATCGATGGGGTATGTCTTGGTTTCCCAGCCAGGGGCCATTCTAGGATTTTTTAAGGGGGGAGGTGGTATAAGAGGGGTCATAATTCTAACAGACCAGCCAACCTTATTTTTATCCAATGATATGTTTCAAAATCAGTGAGTGACAAAGGAGGGGGAACTTTGGGGGACAATCAGCTTTGAGCTGGGAGCTTTGCCCCTGAGGCCCCACCCCTGTAAATTCCCCTGTTACCAGCAGCTCTGAAGGAGAGAGTAAAATGTCATATTAGCCACATGATTAGTGGGAGACACAAAGAGAGCTGGTTGGTAGCATGTCGCTTGTTTGAGGTAAGAAGAGACGACGATGATGCTAATGAGCTCCCTGAAGATGAGGGAGTCGGGGCTTGGGGGCTAAAGGGTCCCCATATGGTGTTAATGTATGGTGCTCGCTTCTTCCATCTTCGCACTACAACAGTTTGTTAGGTTGCTCCCCGCAGGACCCTCGAGTGCTCCATTTTGATCACTTGTGCTCCCACTGATGAATAATAATGAATCCCATCAGCACGTGTGCAGGAGAGCCTCTGGGCACCTCCCGTTACTCAACATTCGGGCTCATACTCCGGAAAACATCACCGGGATGAGATTTCTCTGGGGTGGTGGGGGGGGGGGGTCGCTCGGGGAACAATGTGGCTCTTTATCATCGCGAGCTACTTCCCTCCTAGTCGTCTCATTGTAATGAGGCACTTCATTCAGCATCGGAGCACATATTTGCATATTTGTATGTCTGGGTGCGCCGCAAGAAAGACAAGGAACCAGCGCTGTTACTGTAGTGAGGAAGACGGGACAAGACAAATACTCAGGACACGGGTCTTTGGGTCACTGATCACCTGCCGCATTAAAGTATCTTTGTCAAATGATGGTTTTGGTACTCTGGTGCTGCAGGCATGTGGAGCCATGCAGATGTTTTTCCACTACTCAAATGCATTTACATGGGGCCCCCGAACAGTCACTACACTAAATATTAAATGTTCCTTATTTAGGAGACGCTAAAATATTATGTTCTGATAACTAGTTAGCTAGCTATGATCTCCTGACTCTATATTCGCTAGCTAACAGTGAAGCCACAGAAATAACAAACCCACCCCTGTGTACAGAACACTAGCCTTATCGCTAGTAGGCTAATCTGTGATTTCCCACTCCTGCTCCTCCAACTCAGGAATCCATAATCATAAATAAAGAATCTGATTAGGTGACATTACTGCTTCCTGGAAACCCTGTGTGTACCGAGACCACAGATTTAAATTGACACCCACAGTTTGTCCCTCTGCGTCACATCTGTGTGACGCATCGTAATAGTAAATGACAGCGTAAATCTGTCTTAAGTGTCCCAGTCAGCATTAGGGTGCTCTGCTTGAATTTATATCACAACAAAAGAGCTTGAGTCTGTCACTATGCCTCACCGGGCTGAGGATCACTAGTGGCACATGGGGAAGCCCCAGCCACTGACACGCAACGGACAGGGAGAGAGAGAGGGAGAAATAGCATGAGAGATGGAGGTAAAGAGGGAGAGAGAGATATGCAGATGAGCTACAGTGACCCACACTTTGATTATTGAGATGCAGCAGAATTCATGGAAAACTGCTAGGTGAAAAGAATATGGTAAAGTGTAGATGGACACAGGTGTACACCAGGCGTGTATTTTTGGTATGGGCAAACACTTATCACTTATCTACACTTATCTAGCCATGTTTGATAAGGTATTTGGCATGATTTAGGTTAATGGTTTAACACACTAAACATTTTGATTGAGCACATATGTGAGGACACATTCATGGATTTATTGCTTTATTGGAATGGATAATTTCACATTATGTCAAACGTAGATGAAATTGTGAGCCTTGTTGCTGTAGCATAAATTAGCCTGAGATATTAAAAAAAAATAGACTGACAATTCCATCCATAATAGGCTTGGTATAAAATATATAGGATCTACGTCTACTTACATTGCTTGCTACTTGAAAGAACTCTGTGATAGATCTTTGTTTTTTTTCCAAATAGATTTTTTTCTGTATGACATACCGCTTTGTTCCCTGTGACCAAAGCTGAATCCGACACAACCTAGGCTGCTCAGTTCTCAACTTGTTCAGTACCCAGAATCAGTGGAATATGAACAAAATGCACAAATATGGCAAATATGTATGTTTTTCAATAAAATGTTTTAGAAAGTCATCAGTATTTGGGTTATCTGCTTTGTTAACACTAGAAAGACTGACTGGGTCAATTGACCCAGTCAGTCTTTCTAGTGTTAAATCAGTTGGTCATTGTGGAAGTGGAACATTCTGAAGCTGTGTGTAGGCTGATAGGAATGCATGCACTTTTCTATGTCTGCTTATAAATGGAGATGAAAAGGGGCAGTGGGTCTGTGTGTGTCTTGAGTTCCACCTGCAGCAACCACATGTTTTTGACTTTGAGTTTGTGATGGTCGACACATTTTGATGAGATGAACATTTAGATATCTAGCCCTGTTTAAGGATGCTACTTACTAATTATAGCTTAATTTTTTTCCCTCGAAAGTGGGGGATTTGGGGGCAGATCAGGGTATTATTTACAGTGCTGCCCTTTTAAAGCACTGTGCCATTCGGACCGGGCCGGCTCAGTCGCATACCTGCCCATCCAAACAGCCTGACTCACTCCTTGTCTTCAGCTCATCGATCAGCACCGCCCGACAGCCGGGGTGATGCACCGGACGGCAGAGTTCCGGGCCTCATAAACGCGGTCCATCTTTTATGAGTGTCATAAACAGCGCTGTCCTCCGGGGGGACGGATGGACTGGGGCATAGGGAGCTGAGGCCTCTTTCACAGCATCTGTGCTGAATTAATTGCGGGACTCTTTAGCAGCTCACCTTTCCCTCGCAGGATGCAGATGCCGGTGCTTTCCAGGGCCTTGGGGTTTTGCTCCAATTTCTCACAGTGAACCCCCCCCACCCCCCCCTCCCCTAACATAAATGTAGTCCTTCAGCGGCAGGTCTTTTTTTCGCTTATATACTTCTTCATTTTTTTTTTTTTTAATTTTTTTTTTTGTGGATTGAAATTCACAGTTGGAGGTGCCCTGCTCACCCCTTGAGTGACCGCCGGGATTTTCCGAAGGGACTCGCGGGAGCCAGGGGCTTCACCGCCGCCTCCGTCCCATCTGTGTCGGCTCTCTGGGGCCCACGTCCCGTTGCAGAATGGAGTGGTGAAGCTCCCCGAAAAGTGCAAATAATACTTCCTGACTTAACATCATGGGTTGCTTGTCAGTGAGAATGCATAGTCGCTCACTCTCCCTCCCCCACTCTCTCCCCGCTCTCTTCCTCTTATCCTTTGTACTTCTCATCTTTGCAGACTACAGGTTTCATTCTAATTATCCAACTGAAGCCTCGCAGGTCAGTGTGTACGCACACACACTACCCACATACCCATGTGTGTTACCAGCGTACCCCATGTCTTAACCAAAAAAACACAGTAGCAATGGTCTTAATGGATCAGGGTTCATATAGCATTCCTTGAGATGTTGGCACTCCATGCGAGTTTCTGGAAGCAGAGCATTCAATGCATTTTATATCCTGTTGGCTAGACTTAATTTTATAAGTAGAAAGAGCTGCCCTTATCTAGTGTATTACTTTAACTTGCATTTACAAATTATAGCATGTTCCCTCCTTGTTTTTATCCAAAGCTACTATAAGAAATCATCACCTGTTACACGACACACTGATTCCTTCTTGCCGATATCTTGTCTTGGTCTCTCAAAAGTATTTCTTGTGTTGTCCTATAGGGGGCAGTATCGCACCACAGGCACGATTTCAGTCTCGCATCACATTCCGGTGAAGAGGCTGAAAAGAGCAATTCATCCCCAGCAAGCGAAAAGAACGTCCACAGGTATTCAGCACCAGGCCCCATCTTCCAGCCCGAAGACAAAGTCAATTAATAAGGTCTCATATATAACGAGTTTACGCCGGCTTGTTAAGAAACGGCAAACAAGGCCGCCTGGCTGGGACGTGGATGGGAAGGAGAGTCCCCCTGCATGTTAAAGCAGCTTTATGCACCAGTCCAAGCCACAATTAATATTCTTCAGTGGCTTTCGTTTTAGGCCGGTCACGTGGCGTTGCCTCGTCCCCGTGCCCACAGGACTTGCATAATTACCTATTTACATTTCACCCCAGCAGCATTCGCTGGTCCTCAAGGGCCCAGTGTACGGCGGCCCTGGACCCTCGCCACGTGCCTGAAAAGATCCCACGGCAGCTACGGTCCAGCTCTCGGCGGGCTCGGAAATCGGTGCAGTCACTATGACAACGTTAAGGGGGAAAAAAATAGAAATTTGGCTTTACTGGGTCAGCATGGTAAATATATTTCTATTTTCTACCTGCAGGCACGGGTGATAAGAGACTGAGGGCTGCTTTTTGTGTAAATCTGAGCGTGCGCCCAGAATTCATTTGGTCCAATTTTTCCGCCTTTCCCCACCACAGTCCGAAGGGGTATGACCCTCCAAGGCTCCCCGGCAGCAAACAGTGATGGACAGAAGGTCAATAATGAGCCCACAAGGCAGCTGCTGCAGCTCTTACTCCGTCCTTGGGAAGGTAAAAAAAAAAAAAAAAAGCTAACGGAGGCCCCAAGCCTCATTTTAGGGCATGATGTAAGTTCAAAGATCTGAGTTGGACCCCAGTGATCCCAGTCTCTCTTTAGCCAATCTGCCAGGATAATGGGTGAGAAACCTGACAGCTTTTGGGCTAGTAGTTTCCAGGAGACCCTTGGAAGATGTGGAGGTGTCATAAATTCCAAGTTTCGAGAGGGTCTGTGTTTGGCAAGAACCTTCAGGCGGCCCCCAGTTTCCCAGCAGTCCCTCTGGGCCATGTAACAGGCATGACAGGAAGCTAAGCTGGACGGTGGTGGGAGGGCTATCGTCTCAGCCACTTCAGAGGGGGGCTGGATGGATCTTCAGGGGCCGAAATGACTCGTTCCTACACCTTGTGGTGATGGAATGTCTGAGACACAGCCCCGCCCACCCAGCCCTCATTAGGCATAGTGACCTGCATATCTACTGCTACCCACAATCCCCTTCTCTTCCTTTCACATGGAGGGCAACAGCACATTGCATCTACAGTCCGGGATGTGACATCTGCAGCTGAGTTCAGGAGGAATGATCAGTCTCTGGTAGAACAATAATCCTGTTGTGTGAAATTAAAGTACTGCTCAGTGAACAGCAGACATGATAGATACATGTATTTCTCTCGATACTGCCTAACATGTAAATCCTGCTGGATAAAGGACCCCGTCATCTTGAAGTGTCTATCCCCACTGAGCCCTCAACTAAATAAGCTTCTCCTTCCTCTCCAGAAGCATAATGATAAATTTGGATAACATGCTCAGATTGGACAGTCCCCTGAGATCGTTGGTTGTGCACCAGAGCAGCCTCATGGTCATGGAGACGTTACATGACTGCAAGAAAGCAGCACCCTCTAGATGGCAGTGGAAAGCCAGGCTTCATGGACACCAAGGTCCGTCTCTTCTGTGATCAATGAAGCCTCCGTTTTTTAAATGGAAGATGCCGTTGAATTGCTGACTGTCTTTGGAGGTTATTGCTTCTGTTTCATATTACAACAATACAGCTTTATGTAAGAGAATACCTGCAAGGTGAAAGAATTTTGAAAAAGCAGTGAAAATGTCAGATTATAACAGGAATAATTAGACAACCTTTTTTGATGCAGAACGTATATGGTTCGGTTTTGAGAACCTGGAACGTCAGACTGACAGCTTGGGAACCTTAAACTTAACCCAGCATCAGGGGCGCAGACCAGAGACCATGGTGCGACCATATGCTGCCCACGATAATGAACAATTCATTACTCAGTCCTTAATTGCAAAGTTAAAATGCAAATGCAATTAACTTAAAACTGCTTGCTGCATATTAAAACAAAAACTGACAGCTCTGCCTTGCCCTCTGTGCATGGATTTAATGAAAGACAGTTCTGGAGTACCTTTTTTTATCAATATGTATAAAAAAAGACAATTATTAATGGCAAAAATTTTTGCCAGACTTGGAACATTAGTGTTAAAGGGTGCCTGTTATAAATGTGGGCTTTGAACAGCATTAGTTGAGCAAAAAAAAAAATTCAAGTAAACAGAAACCGCAGGGAAGCAGGTTTTCTAAATGGAGGAAAAGCGGTTAACTGTGAGGCAGAATTTCTAGATCATTCTGATGTGTATCTATCCATAGCACAACACATTCATCAAGAGTAACTCTACATGGTTTAAAATAATAATTATAACAGTCACTGTCACATGGACAATTCTGTTCCTTGCGAAAACCTTAGAAGAAACGCAGAAAGGTGACAGCTCTCGGATGTCTTCAGGACATCCCCAAACAAACCAGCTGGCGTGTGTGTGACGCTTACATAAATATTAACATCTGCATTGAGAATTAATCTGCCTCTGAAATGCAAACTGAGTGACATGCAGCGATTAGCATTTGAGGAAGTCAGAGGAAGACGAGGGAAGTCAGTTTGTTATGAGATCCGCGAGACTTTGCTGCATAATTTGGCAACATATAACTTTACAAAAAGGCATCGGTTGCTTATAACCCTCGAGCATGTTTTCCTTCAAGGCAAAAAAACAGCATGATGTCGAGGAAATATATTTGTCCCTTAGCCTGGATCTCTTGAAGGTCATGTCAATGCATGACCTGAAAGCAAAGCTCGCAGGCACATGCGTAGAAGCGGGGAAGCTGTATCAAGGATGACCGTGAAGCAATAGCGCCAAAGGAGAGCTGGACCCTGGAATGGCTCAGCCTGCGATTCAGCCTTTATGAAACTCTGCCTGGATGAGCGCCTGGCTTATTTATTCTAACAGAAAACTGTTTACATGACTGTACGCTGTGGCCGGCGTGAAGATGCCACTGAAACTGCCAGCATGGCTCAAACACTTTAGTAAATAGAGTGAGTCTGGCCATAGATAAAAGCAGGTGATTCCACACAGGTGTGGTTGTTTAGTTAATTAAGCAATCAACATCCCATAATAGTATGAGTCATACTGTATACATGTACAAATATGCTGGGCAGGAGCTGTTGGCCACTCTTTTGGCTCTTGGGTCTAGAGGAGGGTGATGCAGTAACTGAATGAGAGGTAATTGCTGTGGGGTATGTAGCAAGAGTTGTGATGGTTATGGATGAATAACATTTTCCATTTTTTTATAAACTGGTGTCCATGATGCTGATGCAAGGCAGAAAGAGTAAGCAGCTCTCAGTCAGTTGACTGAACTCATCAGTCTTATGTGTGAGACAGCCTCCAGTTTACTGAGGGGTGGAAAGGAGTCCCATATCAAATGAGTCATCCTTCACCCGGGTCTCAGCAAGCTGTTATGGTGTGGGGTACTCTTTCCTAAAGCCCTCAGTGATCATGTTCATTCTGCATTTCTGTTCCAGGGCAATGGAATCTTATGGAATGGTTTGTGTATATTAACAGATGCCAATGCAATTTGGTCCACTGTGGTAGTAATTAGGAATGATGGGGCTCAGGTGCCCAAATTTGTCACTTGTGCTACCATTTCTGATCCCACAACGGGCTGTTCAGTAAGATTGAAGGTACAGACCTGATGAGATATGTTAATAGCTGGACTTGCTGAGCAGGTGTGCATTTTAGTAACCGACTGAAATGAAGATCTGAGGACACACCAGAGATCAGTGGTCACCACTCTGAAAGCACTGTGATGAATCTATCATGAAGCATTCAGTCTCTCCTGCCACTCAGATGGATGATTACTAAGAATCCTCCTGTGAAGTTACCAGACACTTTTATTTTCTTTGTAATCTTAACAACCTTTAAAACTGAACAGTTGATATTTATCTGCACATTCTTAATTTCAATCTTTGTATGACTTGGCGAAGTTTTCATCTTGGCATTCTAAGCACATCATTCTTCAAAACTTTCAAATCAAGATGCACCAAGAAACAAATCAGTCTTTTCCTCTAAAGGAGAATAGTTCAGCTCTCTTGATGTATTCAACAGAAGTCTTATGAGACCTCATTCACTGCAGTGGACCATGTAAAATTAAAAAAATGGGCTGTTTTCTTCTCAGCATTGTAGACTGGAGGATGTGTGAGGCTGCCCCAACGCCCATGCTGGGAATCTCCAAACAGATGCTGAGCTGCTGGATGGACTCGCTTCCGAGAGCTAGCCTGAGGCTTTCTAGCATGTGGGCAATCTCATAGGTGCCTTAGACTTCATGGTGCCTCAGAACTCGCTCTGTGATATAACATCCTCGAAACAGAGCACTGAGCAACCTGTCAGACTGTGAAGGCTGCTAAACGTAACATGACCCTGTTATGTTTAAACTTCAGATTTCCCTTAAGGCCATCCTAATCCATTGACATTAATGAGGCCAAGGAACCACATTAACCAATGGTTTCCTGTTTCGCTTTTATTGAAGGCTCCATAAAAACTATGTAAAAGATACATTGTACAGCTGTCCTGCTTAATTTAAATTTTATCCAGTTTCTGACCAATCAGGATCTGCTGCAGCAGGTGATTATGGGAGTGTGGGATGGGGAATGTCACACCGTATCCAAGTGGTCACTACACAATGGTCATCTACCCATCAATTAGGTTTTTTCAGTGTTTCTTATTGAGTTGGAGGCACCTGATTTTGGAGACACCTGGCTTAGATTAGAAAGGAAATTCATTGGCGTGAAAGAACGTTTTTCTTGCTGAACTTGAACCCTTAGTTTTAGGGTTTTATTACCTTGTGGAGTATATATACAGGCAGAACATTTGGCTCAATTGCTCATTCCCACAATATTGTACGTTTGGAATTAGACCAGGCTGTTGGTCTTCTGTTTATTATATGTTCCTTATTTTTATTTGGGCACTGCACAGTTTAAGGCAAATCAGTCGGGCAAGCTCCTGGGAAGGATGTTATATCACCACACTTATCAACATGTAATTCACAGCTCCTGTTTAAGGGACTTCGTGGTTTCCACAGTATGTGTCTGATGAAAACACAGGACTGTTTATGACTTTAAATAAGGCTACACGTTAATGGCTGTCAGCAATCAGAAAGACACGTATGAGTGGCAGAATCTACTCAGAATACCTCTCTGGAAAACATTTACATAAACTCAGAAACAAAGTGCATGGTGATGTGATGTCAAAAAGGAGGGGGACGGTGAATCGATAGAGTAAAGACGTGTGTGTAGCCCTGTGCTTCAGTCCCTTGTTAATGGGCAGTAACACTCTTCCAGGAGGCACGGAGGTGTGATTCCTTTCGCTCCGGTTTGGTCGACGGGCGTAGGTAACGGGCATGAATTATGGGAGCTCTAGCGGCGGCTGATTAATCAGTTTCTGCTGCGCTGCCCCTTAGGTGTGACGTAAGGTCGGTCACACATTGCTTTGAAAAGTAAAGCTACAGCCCCCCCCCCCACAAAAAGACACACACACATACAGTTGTCCCTCCCTCTTTTTTCTTTCCCTCTCTCTCTTTCCCCCAGCACTGACATATCCACCTAGAGATCCTGCTGAAACCGGGAGAGGAGAAGAAGGGCGGGCTGCACGGTGCGCCAAACCGAAGTGACATCCCCCGAAAGGGACTCGAGGCTGGACCGGGACTGGCGCGTTGCTGTCGGAGCCTTCATTCCGCCACCATGTCCCAATTTATGCTCACCTTTCTCACGATATCGGGATTATTTCCTGCGACAGAAGGGCTGATCGCAAAGCAAGGTAAGGGGATGCTGTGAAGTCGTCTCAAACTTAATGCGCCGACCTCATGTTGCAAAAAAAAAAAACAAAAAAACGAAATTTAAATGCCAGCGTTTATGCATTTCTGTTAAATATCAGCTCCGTTTTAAAATTAATGATTAGTATTTGCATTGTCTCACAATATTGCATTTTAAGATGGACATTTGTCGGGTCCTGATCCGTCGGCGTTTCGTTTGTGGAGCTGCCTGTGAAACGTGTATTTTTAGGGTTATTTGATTTAGTAGCACGTTTCAGTCTGCTGGGTTCACATCCGTTTTTTGCTAAATATTATCAAGCATATTAAGGCAGCTATCCCCCGATAACCGCGCAGTGCTGTGGGATGCGTGCTACTTATATTCGTCCACAACTTCACATCATTTGTTCGCCTACGTGTTTCGCATTTGGTTTTCTTTAATAAATGCTAACGATAAATAATTATATTCAATCCCATGCCGGGAATTCAGGTGGCGCTTGAAACGCATCTAAAAACAGGTCGCTTGACTGTTCAAAAGTTACCCATGGCCTTCTATATAAAATTTAATAAGATTAATCAATTCAATGATAGATCAGTTAAGTCTTGTTTCTTTGGCGCAGCTATGCTTTTTGGTGACTGAGGTCCGTATCAGGTCCATTTACAAGCGGTATCCCGTTAAAATGCGAGACATCGCCCCGGGGATTCAGATTTAGATAATAGCAGCCTGTAAAAATCCCTTAATTTATCCCAAATAACAATATCAAATTATTTGCGCTGTGTCAAAGGGCTAGTTTAAAACCCCAATTCTCAATGAATTCCTACTATATCTGTCAAATGGGGAAAAAAAAACAAGTTTGCGTATAATTCAGTGTTGAATTGCTGCTATTTAGCTGAATGAAATGAAAGCGACTTCAAACTGCGTTTATTTACTGCAAGGTGCGTCTGCCGAGCGAGCGCAAAAATAATAAAATAGACTGAAGTCTGACACTAACCGAGCTGCTCTATGGAAATATATACCTTCATAATCAACAAATAAACTTTATATTATGTAGCTATTTTAATTTTTTTTTCTGAAATAGTTGGTTTCTCTGTAGACGAGAATCACGCAATTAAACATTTTTGCTCTTGAAAAGCCGAAATATTTTATCCTGGCGTTACTGTGATTTTAATTAGATTTGGTCCTACAGGTAGGCCGATCCGATATGCATGTTTTTGTTTCGCTAGTACAGCCCGTGAGGATCCCAACTTTATCCGCCGAAAATAGCAGACCGCATGGAAAGACTATGCAGCCTATGCTTAGACTGAAACTGCATCAGAAAGGCCAGAGATTTACTAATCTCTGGCCTGAAGGTGTTCATATTTACCCTCCGTCGTGGCAAACCACCTTTCTTTGAATGCACTGCTTTGCAGGCATGCACCTGCAATAGCTCTCTGAGCCGGGGTAACACGTGTCCTAACCCCTGCTGCAAGAAGAGATTCACAGCTGGCTTTATTCAGCCGATGTGCTGCTTAATTTCCACCCACTCTGGCACTTTTAAGTATAAATGATACATACTGAAGATATGTTCTCAAACACATCTGTTAAACGCAGTGCTCCATGTGCCCTAAGGGTCCTCTTGCTGTAGACCGAGAGAAGTTTTGACTCTCATGCTGAAGTAAAATTCATTTTTTTTCTGTCTTGTTGAGTTATGCTTTGAGGCAAAGCTCGACCTCATGGCCACAGAAGCTGAATCTGGGGGTGGGCTGAGGTGTTTCCTCCTTATGTGCCGATTTATGTGAAATCCTGCACACTTTCACTACTGACTGAGCCGTCTGCTCTCCTTGGTGCTTTTTAATTTGTTGTTATATCCATTTAGCCAGCAACCGTAACTCTTCATCAGCACCACTAGCCTCCAGAGGACAGGCGCCTGGTCAGGGGCACAGTACAAGCTGCATGAATGCAGGCGATCTCCAGCTATACAGCTCCCATTGCCCCTGGTAACCGTGGCAGCATCCAGCTGATGCTGATGAAGGGTGGACGGGGAAGAGGGGGGTGAGCGCTGGAGCCGGCTGGATGACCCAGAAGGCTGGCGATGTTGAGGCCGTTCTGATTTCCATCCCATTACATCACGTTCCTCTGACACGCCGCACATTGAACATGTGCCGCCTTTCCTCCAAGGGTGGGGTGAGTTCCGGAGGTATCCGCACGGAAATGCTTCAGTGCCGTTTCGGCAGCGTTGGGGAGGCGCATCCAGGTGGAGGATTGGCTGCAGTGTGGCTCACCATCGCTACCAGCTGACCATCGAGATTCCGGGTTGACCTTATGGCCATATGCTTCCACCTGGGGGTGGGGGGGTATTTCTAATGGGTCATTCCTTTGCTATCAAACTGTAGGTGTGTGAATGTGACTCAGGTAGAAGCTGAATGCGAACTCTTTTCTGTTGATGGAAATGGATTAATCTCTTAGGCTTCTACGACAATTGCATACGGCAAGGGTGGCCAATCTTGTGCGCAAAGGGCCGGTGTGTATGCGGGTTTTCGCTGCAACTCCCTAATTAGATTACTAATTAGAGGACTGATTGGCTGAAGAGACCTCACACCTGGGTTTGAACAGCTGACCTACAGGTTATCCCGAAAACCTGCATAAACACCGGCCCTTTGCAGATAAGATTGGCCACCCCTGGCATACGGGATCAGTGCTCTGCTGCAGTGCAGACTCAAAGTGATGGACATGGTACATTTACGTACACAATATGGACGAGCATTTCCTCAGACTGTCTAACAGTGTAAGACTTTCACACTCACCATACTGTCTACAGTCCTTCTTTGAAACTCTGCTTAATCCCAGTTGCAGGTAGAGGGTCTGTATGCTTTACGCACCCTGTTTCCTTTGAGGGAAAAAAAAAAACAACGGCTCAGATGCATTTTGTCAAACCTGCAGAACTTGCACAGGATGGCATGTGTCTGTCAGGCTGGCAGGTGAAGCACTGGATTGTGGGTGTTGTAATGCCTCTGGGTTCCGCTGTGCTATAAGCTTAAAGAGCATTGTATGTTATAACCTTAAAGAATATTATTTTCAAGAAATGACAACAGTTGCTGTTACGTTGCATCTGCCTCAGCTGAATTAGACGGCAAGTGGCAGCATACACTTGCGGAGTTGGTGTTGTCTTTGCAGAGTGATGTCATTCTTATACCTCGGAGACTCTGTCGGAGCATGGGAGAAGGTGTTAGAGGTATTCTAATGTCTGTTGAGGCCTGGTAGACGCTCCCCCAGCCTACAATAGAGAGGCAAAGGGTACACATCAAAAGCCCTGTTTACTTAGCGCTCTAAGCATGTCTGCCTCCAGGGAGTATATCCTGAGTGCAGCCCTCCAGGGCCTCTTGGAGGAGCAGCAGTGACCCCAGGGGAACGTTTGAGGACAGAGAAGCTGAGTTTTATCTAATGCCGAGGGGGAGATGCTAACTGAATGTAGACGTACAGAGTTTAGGTCATAGGGATCACATCCATGCATTGCGCTGGCTTGGTGTTGGAGCCCCATTTGGCAGTTCAGGCTCACAGGCGGAACTGGGGGTGTTGAGGGAGGCAGTTGCTATAGATGCACAATACAGTGGTTCCTTAGTTCTCAAACTCATTAGAACTAGAATTTCTTAAAAGTCGAACTAACCAGTTCGAAAAAAAATGACCTAGAACTCGATCTGAATCTCAGAAGTCAAACCGTGAACGCCGATCTAAGATAACTTGTACGTGCCGGGAAATGAGTCATGCGACACGTCTCTCAGCGGAAACATAGGGTAATGCTTCAGTCTCAGCCTCGCATTCGCTGTGATAGCATCTGGCATGTTTACACTAGCTGAATACATATATTTAGACAGTAAAAACACATTTAAACAATGATAGAAAGTAACAGTAATTATTATATAATAAAATATATTTAAAAATAAAGATTTCTTATTAATTATTTTTATATTAATAATAAACCATTAATACATTTAATTATAATAATATTGTCGTGCTGAGCAGGGACGGAGACAAAGGCGCAGACGTCAGGGTATCGGGGAATACGTGGTTTAATTACAGGTAAGGCAGGCAAAACGCAGACGGACAATACAATGACCGGACTGGGGAAACAAACTGAAACGCGAACTAAACACCCAGGACTAATGACAACAACCAGAACCAGCTGGTCACACAGGCATCCCACACGAGGTTAACGAGGGGGCGTGGCACACGGAAGAAGCGGACGATCGGGGCAGGACACATTGTTTTTTTTTTTACCTTACACATTGTTTGGATACATTTATTTTCTTACTTTACAAATTACTGTTTTGATAAATGTGCTTGGATGTTAGTACAGTATATGCTCTTCGTGTTTTATCCAGTTCATTTTGTGTTTAAATGCTAAAAAAAGCATATTTAGATGTAATCTTTTGGGGCCGGGAACCAGTTAATTGGTCTTCCATTATATCTTATGGGGAAAATTCGATCAGAACTCGAACTTTTTAGGATTCGATCCGGAGTTCCGAACGGATTAAATTCGAGTTCTGAGGTACCGCTGTGTATCATACACATGCACGATATATCTCGTATCTTATCTATATATCAGTGTCGACCAAAACCAACAATACATCAGCATCAGTCCAATGTGTCAATCCTGGCCATTATTGCCAGCTGATATTTAGACTTTAGTCAATATTCAACATGATTAGCACCTTCTGCTACAACTATAACTACTAAAACGATGGAGAAGATTGCACTAGCTGATCAGCCATTTTCCATGGTGGAGGACAAGGGATTTAATTGGTTCATACAGCACTTAGAACCTTGCTACAGTCTCCCAGGTCAGCGCTACTTTGCTGATGTATCACTGTCTGCATTATATGATGTGGTTGCTACAAACATTCATGGGATCTTAAGGAGTAATGTCACCTGACATCAGTTTCAGTACAGACTTGTGGAGCTCATCAGTTAGCCTTTTATTGGTAGCGGTTTTCAGTAATATTAGACAACAATGCATCAGATATTGTTATT